GAATCAGGAGGGGGAAAAAATACCTTAGTCTCATTTTACTGGAGCTTGCAGGTCTTGCATTCATAAAGAAAGGGATGAAGGAAAAATAGCTTTAAAATGCTAATGTAATGCTTGATTCTGTGAAGAGTGCTGGATTGGCAGTAGGGAGAGGGGGTTCCTTTCTTTGTCATTAATTGATTGTGTAACTGGTTGAGTGGTTGAACCTCCCATGGTGCCTTTGTTTTCCCATTCATAATATGAAGAGGGGTGGATTTCTAACATAAGTTCTCTTAGTAACAGGCTCTGATTCTGGCAGCCTGGAGATCTAGAAGGTGATGAAATAAATGCAGAGAGGTATGAAAATGTCACTCGTCTCAGTGACTATGTTAATGTGTCTTTCACTTGAAAAGAATGCAAAAATACAGAAATATTTAAATGTCATAACTTTAAATTTTAACATAGGGGCTGGAGATCATAAACATTTTATAGAATGACAGCAGCTTACATTTTACTTGGAGAAAACACTGTGATCCTACAGGATTTTTTTTAAGTTATTATGAAAGGCACTTATAAATATTCAAGCATTTTTACCAGTCTGAAGGAAAACATTCACAGTCATTATGAAAGACACTTATAAATATTCGAGCATTTTTACCAGTCTGAAGGAAAACATTCATCCTGATGTACCCTAGAAAAACATAATACCTACTACCACTTTGGGGGTAAATGGTACAGAGCTAATGTTGAATACTTCACAACTGCTGCTGTTGCTTGGTTCTGCTCGAGTTTATTTATTTATTATTTATTTAGAGAGACCTGGGACAGTTAGAAAATACTTCCTTTTAATGTAATGAAGGGGACATTGTCGGATGGGCAACAAAACTTGTGTGTTCGCTTTTGAATGTGGGAGGAACAGTAAGCGATTGCTAAGTATAGCATCTCCCCTACCAGCTCCCCTGTCATCTACAGCTTTGGCCTGTTTCAGGTGCTGTATAATGTGTTTTCCTATATTTTCAGAGGTCTGTTATTACTGTACCAGTGCGTGAGTCCAACACTTCCTTCCTTCCCCTCATTCACATATATTATTAACTAAGGCAAAATTCAAATTCCTGTTATTTGTCATACCACTAACTAATGTAGGAAACACTCGCCCTCCTCCCATTGAACAGAGTTAAGAGTTGATGTAATTCCTGCTTTCTCTGGAACCATCCAAAACCCAGAGGATGGGGCATGCTACGTGTGAGGTGAGTAGTTTTCCATGGGTAATAGCTCCACCTGGTCAGTGGTGTCCTATTGATAGTTAGAACAGCAGGAAGGGAAGCTTGCTACTTTTTACCCTTACGGTCCATTTATTTTTGGAATAGGTTAATTTTTAGTAGGTAAGTCACATGACTCAAAATTTAGAATCATTTATGAATAATTTAAGTCTTAATCCCACCTATGTTGGAGTAAACCACCCCACCACCTGCCTGGCTTTTGTAGATAACCCTTATATCAGTTTCTTATTAATATTTCTAGTATTTTTTTAAACTACACACAAAATACAAAAAGAAAATAGAAACATGCTTTTTTTTTTAAAGAGCTTTTCATTACAGGGTGTGTGCACTTGCCAGAGAGACAGAGACATACAAAGTGAGAAGTCAGTCCCCCAGTGGGGATGGTCATGCCACAATCCCTTTTCCATTCTCCTCTCAAGGATCTTGGGCATACATGCACCTAGTGTGAGTTTTAAGCCACCTGTGCTAGGACTCGAACCAAGGTCGACTATGTGGGAGTCCAGCAAGATAACCATTATGCCATCTGCTGGTCCCAGCATATATGCTTTTAAAAAGCCACTTTCTTACATAAAAGGTAGTATATTGACTTGCATGGTTTTTTTTTTTTTTTTCCCTACTTACTGTGACCTGGTGATTTTCACATGTCAAAAAGTAGAGAGTTCCTGGGGCCAGCAGGTGGCATGGTGGTTAAGGGTGCTAGATTTCCACATGGCCTATCATGGTTTGAGATCCGAACCTAGAGGCTTGCTTTCTCACATTCTCTGTCTCTGAAATATTAAAATAATAATGGTAGCTAATATATATATATATATATACTCTAGAGTTCCTATTTAATTGTGTGTTTTTCACTGTATGAGGATTTCCTAGTTTGCTTAACTGGTTTTCTGTGAATAGGCATTGATAAAACCACTCCTCACTTAATGACCCCCCTGTTTTAACAACTCTCAGACTAATGACCAGTTCTCCAGTGCAGGGCATCCCCTTTGTCAGTCTTTGTCTTGTTCCTGCAAGTAGGTTAGCATTTACTACGTGAAACATTCACCGTCACAGTAGACCACATATTTTGTTTATGAATTTGTACTTTATTGGGCACCCATAGTAATATTCAGAATAAAAACAATTATGCCATATTTATATTACTGTGTCGCGTGTCTCGTCACTTTCTGGTGCTCATTTAATATGTCTTTCGTATGAGTAGAATGGCATTATTCTCGTGTGGTGTGTGATAATTATTGAAAAATACATGCCGCTGAGATGCCACAACACACCACAAGACATCCACCTTTAAGATTCTCGCTTATGGCCAATTCTTTTAATGACCTTGTCATAGGAACAGAACTCAGTCGTTATTGAGCCGTGCCTGTAATGTGTTGTTTATACATGTTGTATATAATCTTTGTTTTTTATAAGCAATAGTGCAGTGAATTGTTCTTTAACTGCATAGGAATTCACAGAAGCATATCCGAGTG